TGAACATTACATTCATTTGGGATTTTAAGACAGTATAAACTCACAGTGAACATTACATTCATTTGGGATTTTAAGACAGTATAAACCCACAGTGAACATTACATTCATTTGGGATTTTAAGACAGTAAGCCACGGTGAACATTACATTCATTTGGAATGTTTAAAACAGCTAGTCAATAGTGAACATTTCATTGGGTTTTTTAAGACAGTATGTCACAGTGAACATTTCATTGAGATTTTTATGACAATAAGTCACAGTGAACATTTCATTGGGATTTTGAAGACAGTAAGTCACAGTGAACATTTCATTGGGATTTTCAAGACAGTAAGTCAGAGTGAACATTTCATTGGGATTTTTAAGACAGTGAGTCAGAGTGAACATTTCATTGGGATTTTTAAGACAGTAAGTCACAGTGAACATTTCATTGGGATTTTTAAGACAGTAAGTCAGAGTGAACATTTCATTGGGATTTTTAAGACAGTAAGTCACAGTGAACATTTCATTGGGATTTTTAAGACAGTAAGTCACAGTGAACATTTCATTGGGATTTTTAAAACAGTAAGCCACAGTGAACATTTCATTTTAATTTTTGAAACAGTGAGTCAGAGTAAACATTTCATTGGGACTTTTAAGACAACAAATTGCAAGGTTTTTTTTTTCTCACTAGGAGCCCTCAAATTATTAAATGTCAAAATTTGATAGTGGCGAAAACAAAAAAGATTTACTGTAACAACCTTGGTGTTTTGTGAAACAGTATTATTAGAAGTACTGGAATTTGGATCTTTGCTACTCATTAATATTCATACAATTTATGAAAGATTAGTTTCGTAAATACTTGACAGTATCCCTGTGTATCCATATGTATACAAATGTGCATGATTGTTTTATCTTCCTATGTTGGTGGAAATTCTGCAATCTTGAGAAATGACTCAGAAGATATTTTTTTAACGCAGAGCAGGTGGTTTCTTCAGTTATAGGTACAATTATTTTTTTCATCCATCCTGGCATACTTGTTGTAAGCAAATTGACATTTCTCTGTAAACTGGTCAGGAAGCCATGTTTCCTGTCTATTCAAACATGTTTGTCATGAAATGTTTACTGCTGTTAGGAACCTTGTGTGCAAATTTTATGTATAACCCTTTGCTATTATTTTAAACAGATCTTGCATTGAATTCTAAAATACCTGCTCTTGTTAAATATGTGGATCAACGTGCAGCAATAGGAATTGGTCTAAAATTGAATTGTGCATGTATAAACAGTTAAAAAATATTGTGAAAAACTTTGATGGGAAATTACATCAATAAATTAGATAATCAAAGACGATTCACTGCATAATAAAAATACTAATTAGTGAACAATCTTCAGTATGATTAAATATAAAATATCTATTTCCATTATTCATCAAAAATATAATTGCTTTTTTTTATTATTTACACTGACAATTACTTTGGCAACACCTGGTCTATTATTATTATCAACTGTACTGTAAATGTTTGTACATTGAATCGGATACATACGTCATGTGTCTATAACACATTCTTGTTTTCTCGAGTCCGTTTTTTTTTTTCAAACAGGTCATTTTGTTATGTGCATGTATGAGTACACTATTTACTATCTCATGTGTGCTATGTAATACTTTAAGAATAAGGGCAAAAAATTGCTGAATAATTTGTTTCCATAAGTGGGCATAACAAAAAAAGTGGTAATTTTGGGGAAATATAAGTTTTCCTATAAAAAACATGGCTTTAATTAGCATATAGCACACATGATATTGTAAGCCATTTACACTCACCTGAACATAATGTTAATAATGTTATGTAATCTGTGTCGTATACAACACGATTCCATGCTGTGTTTAGCATGTTACCTAGCAACAACAAATTTTTTTTTAATAATCTGAAATCTTTTTTTTTCATAATAAATTTTTATTTATTTTCCAGTGTGTGGTGTTTTCATGGAATGAACCAAGTGGAAATGGGCATAATATAAGACAGGTAGGATGAGAACTAGGTTTTTAATATATCAAATAACATGGGAATATCATTTACGGAGTGGTACTTTGCTTTAGTTATCAGCAGGTGTATAGAAATAGTTTTCTAAAAGAATTAATGGATAACCATGCGCATCTACTAGTACTTCTCATTTTTATTAACAATACTGAAATGTACTAGAGTGAATAACTATGAGATGGATACCAATGTAATTAAGAACATTGCGTGATATTGCATATTTACAGTCCGACTTGGGAATTAATAAAACTACTCTCTCATTAATATATGAAGTGAAAGGCACCAAGTGAAATTTGTACAATAATAATGTATTTTGCTTGATAACAGAAATCATGTCTTTGATTCATTCACAATGTTATCAAAACATTCAAGATATTTATAATGTAAGTTTACATTAATTTGGGGTTATTCATAAATACCAATAATTTGCGGCAGCGTAATCTTGATCTGTTGTTCTTCTGTGCCAGATTCTTTATTTTTCCAAGGTGGAAAAAATAAGTGCAACTTTTTTGCTATATTCTCTGTTTAGTAATATGTCAGCAATCTTGGTAATAATAATAACTTTTATTTCGAGAACCAGCTCATAACAAAAAATTAAAAGTTACTAAAAAAAAAAACACAACAGCAAAACAGAAATTAGAAATAGCCTGGTGCTTTAGAGATATCAGAAAAGAAATATCATATTATTCTTTATTTGGCAAATGCATTTCCTAATATAGAAGGATGCATCTGTCTTCTATCTTGGAAATATTGCGTCATCACCTACATCTGATACCGGTAACCTAAATAGGATAAGGTGTTGATTTACTCTATTAATAGTGCATGTGTTCCATAAATGACACAGTTGTGCCTATAGTCAAAATAAGTCATATTTTAATAATGCAATATAAATACTATACATGTATTACCTCTATTAATAGCAAATGGGATTACATAACTGACAGTTGTGTTTATAGTCAAAATAAGTCATATTTTAAATGATCTAGTAGTTAATACATGCAACTATTTGCTTGTATGCAATTCTAAGAGCAATTTAGTTCCTTGGTTCATACTACAAAGTTATAGCATGCTGTAAATCGTGGAGTTTATAACTCAGACATTAACTGATACATGTATTCATCAAATTTTTGTTGCCATTAAGTTAAAGCGGGGGAGTCATCACACTTGCGCATGCGTCAGATGACCATAGCGTGTCGTTGTTTACAAACAAGCGTCTACCCATGAACCTTTGCATTTTTAGCGTGTGTTGTTATTGTCGCTTGGGACTTAATCCCCCCGCATGCGCAGGTGACAACCCTCTTGATTTAACTGTATTATCTGTACAGAAAACAAATATACATGTACGTGTTTCTGGTCATCACATTTTTGGATTTGACAACATTTTTAAATAAATAAAATCACATTTTTCATGCAAATTTTTAAATAAAAAAAAAGCTTTTTATATCTTTTTCTTGCTGGTCCGTTAATACAAGTTCCAGTATGAATGGCAAAGCCAGTACTCATCATATGACATCAGGAATACTGAGTCGTAGACATGACTGATTACTCACTGACTATGTACTTGTCATTTTCCAGAACAAGAGCAATTATCAGACTTTGTATCAATTGATTGGATGTAACCAAATCGCGAATTTTGATCTACATGTTGCCATAGCAAAGATCAGATCTGTTTCTGTGCCAGCAAACCATCACAAAGAATATATGTTAGTTTAGGGCCAAATTACCTATCTCATTCAAGTAGTGTATTAGTTGCAGTTCAATACAGTCATGTTTTTACTGATGATTGGAAATCATGTTTCACTATTCAATAGTTAATCAACATGCTGGTATAAAATACTCAGAGGTTATCTGCTGTAAGGTGAAGCCAACATAAACCGCTTGTCTTGATATATTTGCTTGAGAAAAAAAAATATTAATATTGTGCATATAAAATGTTTTTAAATAAATCAAGATATCATCCTACTGATGCCACTTTTGTTGTCTTTGTCTGGAGTTAAGTGAATTATCGCAAGTTAGGAAAATAATTGCAATGTCATTATCAATTATGGTCATTGCTCCAAAGTGATTTACAAAGAAAAAGAATGCTCTCTATGTATTTAAAGTGACATTTGACTCTGAATGATATGTGTCATGGATATTTCTCGGACATGTGATCAAAAGATGGCTCTTGAGTTCAAATAATAACACTGTCAGCATGTCTTGTTTAAATTTAATAATTGATAATTGTTTAGTATCAAGGATATTAGCTCAGAGTATATTATAACAAATTGAAATTTGTACAAATTATGGATTTTGTCATTTATGTAGGTGTCAATACCTTAAAACAGCAAAAAACACTGGCATTAGCACATGTTTATACAGGGGTCGAAATACTCTGGTGCACACTGCACTATGCACATAGATTATTAGCTAGTGCAAGTAAACTCAAAATATAATGTGCACGCTGTGCATGTAGAAATGAACACAACATTTTCACATTATATTCACTAAGCCTAAACTAAGTTCAACCAACATTGTAAGACAATTAAAAAAAAAGCAAATTCTTTCTTAATTTTATTTAAACTTTAAAATGGTACATTTCACAACAAGTTAGTGCAGGTACATTGCAAATTCAACAAGCACACTGCGCATGCAAGGAAAAAATTCTATTTCAGTCCCTGTTATATAATTGAATTATCGATATATTCATTTTGAATATCAAGATTTATAAATTAACAATAATTTTTAAATAGGTTGTATTCGGTGCAGTCAATTTGCAGTCAGCTGTTGGTGGTTATTTGAGCGGCGATCTGAAACCACATGGAAAATACAAAATACAATTCAATCTAGAAGGTGAATTCAAATTTGTGAGGTAAGAGTGAAGTCTTTATATTCATTATACATAGCTACAGCATGTGCCGAAAGCATCATATACTCACCGAGTGTGATAGTTGTGCGTATTTTTGCTGGGAATATTTATAGTGTAATAAAATGAGCTTCAGAATTGGCATTTTATTACGGCCTACAAAACGATTGGTTTGTTGTGTGTGTGGAGATTTTTGATGATACTGCTGTACATGCATGTATAAAACTTGTAATGATGTATGTGGATCATCGTCACCTTATGTACCGTAATATTTTATTTGACATCCTTGATATCTTCTGTTGTTATTCACTGTGGGGAGGGGGGAGAGGGGAACTGGGTTGGCATGCATCATTTGTTCATGCCTATCTTTTAGTTTTTGTTATCATAGACATTTAGATTTGTCTAAGTCTCATTTTAATTCCGATGTATTCATCCGAGTGAGTAAAAAGCTATGATGGCCTTGCAGCATGTGTTCCAATTTCATGTGAACAATGTATTTTACACACTTATATCGAACACAACATAGCACGATGAGCACAATGGTTTAGATAGCAATGCATGTATCAAAGACATAGACATTGGATTAATCTAAGTCTCATTTTAATTCTGATGCATTCATCCAAGTGTGTAGAAAGCTATGCTCGCCTTGCAGCGTGTGTTCCAATTTCATGTGAATAATGTATTCTACAAACTTATATCAAACACAACATAGCACGATGAGCACAATGGTTTAGATAGCAATGCATATATCAAAGACATAGACATTTAGATTAATCTAAGTATCATTTTAACTCGGATGTATTCATCCAAGTGTGTAAAAAGCTATGATTGCCTTGCAGCATGTGAACAATGTATTCTACAAACTTATATCAAACACAACATACCGGGGTAGCACGATTAGCACAATGGTTTAGATAGCAATGCATGTATCAAAATAAGGTTTCCAAGTTTTCTGTTTACTCATCCATTTAACAATTCAATGTCTCTTTAATGATAAATCTTATATTTATCTTTAAGGATATCATAAATAATGAATTGACTTTGTTTATTATTCCATGCTATTTAGTGATGGATTTCACAGTTCAACCAAACCATTTGTTGTCACTGTCCACTTGAGAACTGAAATTCCAGCTGAGGTGAGACAATTCCCTATCAGTATTGTCTTGTATTCAATCTTTATACTTTGTGTATGTGTAGCTAAAATGTAATCAATAAAAAAAGTACCTGTAAAATCTATATTAGAAGCTGTATCCCTAATAGAAGTCGCACCCATTCTTTTTGAATAATTGAGAATAAAAAATTCATCATTTCTATATGTGAAGATGCTCTAATAGAAGCCGCATCCTATCTGTTGCATTGTGCCATTTTAATAGAAGCTGCGGCTTTTAATACAGATTTTACAGTATTTGTAGTGTTAACTACAGTACTTGTGCTTATTCAGTACTGATTGTGTTTAAATAAATAACAGAAGTGTAACATAAGTCATGTTTTAATAATAACTTTAGTAAACAACTGTTCCATTAAAGAGTACTGTATGGTAAAAAAAAAAAACATTCTTAAAAATGTTGAAGCAACCATTTTTTCTCTTTCACTCCCCTATAATCTCTCCTGGATTACGGTTTAGTAGATTGTGCTTTTCAAATCAATGATCAAGTAAACAATAATTCAAAAAAAGGTTCAAAGGGTTCATAATATTCACTAACTTGATCGCTTATACATATTGCTGTCACAGTTTCATAAATTTACATCAAATACTGTAAAATACTTTATTTTTAGCTGGAATTAATTTTCTCTGAAAAGACAATTTGGGTGTTTTGTATGGAATTTATTTTCACTGATTTTTGACAACTTAAATGTAAAATATACGAAAAAAGGTATATTCGCTAGATTTTATTTTCACTGAATCATCCCTTCAGCCAAAATTAATTTCAAATGAAAATAAAGTATTCTACAGTACTTATAGATTTTTGCAACATTTATTTACATCATCTAGGTAACTGACAAAGGATTCTCCACAAACATATTAAGAATCAATCAAGGTAATACTGTGAAATGGACCTGGAACTCAACATCAGTACCACATAAAATCTATGAAGTCAAATTATGTCCAAAACACTGTGGACTTCTGCCAACAAATACTGGGTAAGCACTGACCAGCTTTCACATTATTAAGACTTGACGAAGCATTGTTCAGTGTAGAAATGTCAAGTTCGCTGTTAGACCTCCGACTGGCTCCTACTTGTACTGATTTATAAAAGGGTATTAACTTGGTGGTATGTAATGTAGAGACAAGTAATGAATGTATACGTCTACCTGAAAGGTTAACCGGCAATCAGTGATTAAAGCATTTGTCATGGATGCAGTACGGTAGATTCATGCTTAATGAAAACTAATATTTGGTGGCAGTCATGCGATATGCAGAAAACATTGGATTCTAAAGATTCACTGTCATCATGGCAGCGAGTGTTTGAATTTCGTGTGGAATAAACAAAAAAAACATACGTTCTTTACGTTGAATGAACATGGCGTGAAGCTGTGGCATTTTAACATGTTGGAAATCCCTTCTATGTCTTCAAACATAAACTTATTGTTAAAATCTGAAATTAAATAGCAAATGCTTCTCAAATATTAGTATTTAAAAAGTGGTAGGTGGTAGTAATTAGTAGACATAACATAGACATGGTGGATATAACAAGACCTTGGTGATAATAAACTTTTACTTTCTCCTTGCATGTACGAAATGAAATGGCAATTAATCTTAAACAACTCAAATAATTCTCTAGTAAAAATAATTGTTCATTCAAAAGCGCAAATTAATAGCATGCAATAGAAATAAAATAGTCTAAGAATAAAATAATGAAAAATAAAATAAAATAAAAATTATTAATGTAAATTGAGTTTGTTACATTGTGTCTATTATGCCGACCCCTGGTTCTCACCTATAAAAGAAGTTGTGCAGTACTGAAACCATACCCACACCTCTAGAGTTCAGATGATTGCATGACTTATGCAAGTGTATCTGATACCGGCACATGTACAGTTGTGAATCTCACCAAGAACACAGGTTTTGTCACCAAATTTGGTTTCCAGGTTTTTCTAGAATTTCCTGGTTTTCTTGCTAAAAAATTACACTTGTACATTAAGTGAAAGTTGGGCAATGCACACCCATATATACCTTTACTATATGCATGTATTTACCAGTCTTTTTTGAAGATGTTACACAGACACTGTACATATATGTGTGCATCTAATTTTGTGATCTGATTGAATTTGACTGCCATTTAAAATCATTAATTCTTCTCAGTTCTCAGAGATTTCTCTGCCAAGCTTAATCAAATTTAATATGTTAAATATGACCATACTTATGACCATATTGCTATGTGGGTTCAGCTCAGGCGTGTCGAGGAGGAAACTATATTCCGCCTTGGAACTAAAGAACCCCATGGTATTAACAAACAGTTCAACTCATTTGTTGAGCTCACTACCTAAGGCGCGTTATTTGTTCTATTGTGGAATTTTTTGTGATTCTGCTTATAGTTCATGCGCGTTCTTACGTTCCTATGTTCTACCTGTATGTTATTACACTTTCTTCTATGCTATCGATAAAGAGCCATTGCTCGAAACGTCTAGCTATTTTTAATAGTTATTTAGGACTACGATTACCAAATATTATCTTCTATATATCATATTTATCAGTCCGAGCAGCGTTTATTTATTTATGACCATACTTAAGCTGCCTAGTTTTATTTTGTTATGTTCTGATTTAAGATGGCCGACTTGTAGTCAATGACTTCAAAAAACATCAAATTATTGACTATGTCATTTACAATGTGCTCTGGGGTCAAGCCATTATTATTATATTCTATATTTGCATAACTTTCCTGACGTACAATTGTAAATAAACAGAGTACAAGTTACATAAAAGTACTATCACTGTTGGTTGTGTCAGCATGGCATGGAAGCCAACACCTATTGTATGCCTTTGATCCCCAACCATATCAAGTAAGATTTACTGATTTTGCTAAACAGGATTTTATCCAAATATTGCATCTGGGTAAATTTACAACTTCCGCAGTAAAGTGAATCAGTTAAATAGTGGATATTACATCTGTGTTTTCCTGTTTCTAAACATTTTGCAGTGTGGGATGCAAATATCTTTTAATAAAATTGAGATCATAAATATTGAAAGTTTTCCTGTAATAACTACGCAGTACTTCATCTGTTTTATGCATAAAAACCAT